GCGCGCGGAGAGCTAAACACAACCGATACGACACGCCGATACCCTGGCCGTGTGTATGTATATCGGCCTACACGCACACCTACATCTCCACGCTTGCCGCCGCGTCAGCGATAAGGAGCGCCGATTGGTCGCTTCACCGGTTGCTTCTCCGCTCGGTTCACCAAGACCTAAAGCGGCTGCGCGGTCCAGGTACGTACCTGGCCGTGCAACGTTCCTCGTTTGCTGTCACCGCTGTGCACCGGCGAACGTCTTTGCTCGCGGCCGGACGTGGCCAGCTACCGCGGCGATCCTCGCGAGCGTTCCTCGATCTCGGTCGTAACGGAAGTGGACGGGACGGCTGGCGGCCGCCGCGACCAACGCCACACGGCTCCTGGACACCAGTGCGCCCTTAATATCGCTCGGTAATGGTCGCGGAAAGTGACACCAGCTTGCACCGCGGTCGGCTCGTTTTATTGTGCGAACGAACATCGGTGGCTCGACGCCGATCCACAGTCTGGCGGCTGTGTTTCGCTTCACCGGATGCGGTCGACGTTGGATCGTGTCTTCGACCGATCCAGTCCTGCTCTCTCGGAACTAGAGGGACGCGTGTAGGTGTACCGGAGAGGCTCGGTTCTCTCGCGTGTTTTTGACACGACGGATCGGTGAAAGCCGAGTTTACTCGCGGAGAGAACTCTGCTCGCTCGCGTTGACATCGTCCATCGGCTTTGTTTCGGTTTCGTCGCCGTTTTCCATGCTGGGACCAACTGGGACCAACGTGCCGGGAGATTCGTCCGCTGTTGTTGCGCTTAGGAAAATGCTTGGGTCCGTGCGGTGCCGCGCTCAGTGTATTTCCGTGTCCACGTTTCGGGAGCAGTGAATTCACGATTCACGGATTTGTAAGTCGATTGCGCGGCGTATAACCTATTGGGAGTATGTTTGGTGGAGGATACAGCTGTTTCACAGTCTAGTTTGTATGAACGGACGTCGTTTGATCGTGTCTCGAATGTTCTCTGGTTATGAAAGACTGATACGTCCGAACGACCAAACCTGTGATAATCCAAACGTTTACGAATACTTCTCCGCGATGCTACTAACGCTTGCCTCGCTCTTTGTCTGCGTGTGCGAGGAGAGAAAAGTTGGGAGACGTTATTGCGTGTCGAGAAATTGCGATACATATCTGGTAATGGCTGATTGGTCGCCACTCGTTGCTCGCGTTTTGACAGCAGCTTGCCAATCGCGGCCGCACTCTGATTTGCCAAAGACGAATATTCCGCTAATGAAATCGCTAGGTACGAAATCGGAACATTCTGGTCACGTAATAGTATCACAAGACTAATTACTTCTTCAGCGGCAGGATATAGTAACTGCAACTTTATCTTCCAGCAATCTATCCTCAAAGATGAAGCTGTTCGACCAGCTTCATCGCACACTCTATTTCCAGGTTGTTCCCAGTGAAAGACGTTAATTCTCAGTTAGGATTCCACTCCATCGAAAGTCTCCAATTTTGTATGCAAATTAGGCATTCGGGGCGCCTCTCGCACCGTTGTTGCATTTGTAATCGTGTATTTCCTTAAAACTGTTGGGTCTTCCTCTCTGTTGGGATGTCTCTCTTTATTTCCAACCTTATTCTTGCTTCCACGATCCTATTTACGTATCTTTGCTCTAACTAGGCAAGTTCTGTATTTACGCTAACATGTTCCTAGTTGCAGATAATATAACGAATGAATAACATTGAAAATTGAGAGTTTCTTTTGACCAGATCTATGATGAAAAGAGTCGTTGAGCTATACTTCTTTCGAATCCATCGAGTCAGAAATTTTGAAGTTGACGCGTAAATCTGCATAGCTTTTAGTGCCCTCGAGGCGGATGCGTGGGATTGGTACGCAGTGATTCTTTATGGCTTTGCTTCCACTGCTACGACTCTCGTCTTTGGCTGACCGGATGTAACTACTGTGTCCACCCTTCTATTTTACACGACTACCGGTTTCGACGCTCGTACCCGATTTGAAGCTTCTAAAATTTCATGGCAATCGTCAGTTGTAAACGTCTCGCCCGCTGAAATGGTTGCACGAATTGAAATCGATAAATTTCAGGCAGTCGGGACGGAATGTTAACGAGATCGTTAAATTAGAAAAAACGTATATTGGGATTACGTAACCATAATCGTGGATAAACTATCCGTTCCAGGAAAACTATCCGTTTGCTCCTGTAATGCTTCTTTCACCCCATAACATTCGGGAACACGTGAAGCGAGCTTAATTTTCAAAGTCGGTACTGTTGACATTGGCGTTTAGTGGATCTTTTTAGAAATGTTTTTAGTAGCAGCTGATCCAACGTGACGACAAGAAATACCCAGCCGAGGCTGGCTAGCCATTTGCGAATATGCTATAAAGGATTTTTATGTGAGAAATTTGATGAGATAATATATCACACCTTTCAAAGCATGAGAGTAATTGATAGTTAAACGCTTTAAGTTAAAAGCTCGTTTGATTTATTGCTTCTTGTAGCAAATTAAATGTAAGTAAAATAATACTGGAATTATATAATATAATAAACTAACAGCGCTATAAATATTCTCTCGCTATATTCTAATGATGTAAGGATAAATGTTTGCTTCGGGATCTATGTTCTCCATGGATGGAGGTTAAAGGTATGTAGGCTAACGGTATATATATAAATGAAAAAACCAATGAAAGGAACTGAAAGGAAGCTACTTTTGTTTTACATTCGTTTCACCTGGTGTACGTGCATCTTAAGTTACGTTTAAATACATTGCTTTTTTTAATACTGCTTGATAAAATATTCCTGGATCTGTGATGAACGTTAAACAATAATTACGTGAACGACGTGTCTTTAAAATTATTGTCAAATAATTTATGTAAGTAAATTATTAAATTAAATTATTGTTACATAAATAATTTAATTATTCTTTCTGATCGTGCAAAATTGGAGTGCAACATACTAGAATAATTTAAATTGGAGATAGTAACAATTATTAATATAAAGTACACTTTATTACAAAAATTATACAGTTAATTTTTGTATTAATTTATGTACTTTTTAATATTTTTCGTGTACTATTATAACGCGAAAACGTGAACGAAGGTTAAGTGTCAGTAACCTTGAAGTAAAATACTTGTCCTTGTGAACACAAGTTTAATTATCGAAATAAGTATGTTACAAAGCGTACGTATACATTTTCGACCTCGAAAAACATAATAACAGTAAACTAGAATCTTTTATTTTTGCAAACAGTAATAACTATCGTCGTAAAATTTATCAAATAAAGTATAATTATAAATGCTTCAAAATGCTTCGAAATTATACATAAATTTCCACGTACCAAATAATTGCAACATAATTCCAATACAAACTCAAAAATTTCTATTTAAACAAATTTTTTTATATTATTAGAGATTATAGAAGATACTGTACTAAATACAAACACATCACCGATGCGAAATTTTTCCAAAAAGTGTAAAAATAGCCGTGCAAGCATTGAGACTACCTATTTTGGACATAGAAGCACATACATCTACCGTTTGTTCTCACCGTGTCTTGTTCCTACGCCACATGCTCGAGCACAATTCGAACAGGGAAAAACTTGATCGGGATATCTAAAAGCCAAAGGAAATATCGTTCATTGTTATTCGGTCGTGTCCATTGCACCGTACAGTATGTTGCGTTAATATGCTTTATCATTGTGCGACGGGAATGGAAACCAGATATATACCCGGTGGAACACCTACGAGGTATACTAACGCAACATTGGCACCAACCAGAAAGATGTAGCAATCTTTCTTGCGTGGTCTGTCGATTCTTTTTTTATAACAAAAGGGGCTAGATACGGCAACTGCACGATTGCCCATGAGTCACTGTCATCGGGCCGAAAGTCGAAGAAACTGCCATTTTATTCATCCGAATAATCTCTCGGCGCGTCATTGTCCATTGCCTAGTTAGCTCATTCTCCTCGATACTCGAGGTCGCGAAACATTTCACGAACCAGTACCAATTACCGTGCAAAATTTGCGAAAATCAGTGGAGCTAGTTACCTCGCCTTAAGATCCGACCAAAAAAGATTATTCGTTCGAATTCTATTACAACGTCTACCTCGAATTTTGCGGATCCATGTGTACCGAGAAAAAGGATATTAAGAATGTGTCCATCAGCGAATCTTTCGAGAAGCCTCTGACGTGTACTCCTCTCGATCTACGCAAGTATCGACTCTATTTTCACGCCAGCTTTCATCTAACAATAAGCATGACAGAGAGGTTCGAAGAGAGGCGTTATAATTAAGTATCTATTATACAATAACGTTAGAGATTGATAAGATATCGGCGCTTTTGCTCGTTCTGCGCGCGTTCTGCGCGCGTTCTGCGTGCGCTTCCGGTTCGCCAGTTGCCTCCGCGCGAGGCGAAATTTTGCGGTGCACGACTGACATGGAATCGAAGGTGGCGACGGTGGTTTTTGCCGCGAAGAACGGTGAACCGTGGTGGAACGGTGGCTGGTTTGCACGGAGGAACGCATCACGTGCGTTCGTCGCGTTCGTTGCGTGAGTACAGTAGCATTGACTGGGCGAGCGCATGTCGGCGGTCATAACTCGTTCGTTTTCACCGGTCAATGAATAATCTAACACGCGTGGACCGATTGACAGCGCTTAATAAACGCCGGGGATCGCTAATTACCCTGGCCTGGCCGGCAAACGGGGACCGATAATAGCCAGGTAGACGGACTCCGCGAAACGACTTTTCTTCTGTCTCATTGGGATCAACGATCGCGATACGATCGACTGGGAAGGTTCGATATGCAAATAGCGGGTACGCGTGTATCTCTCTGATGAATATACGGGCTTGTGAAACGTTTGGAAGTGGACGTTGCCTCGATCGGGTGTCGTTCGCGGAGAAAGCAAGCAAATTGGCACTTTTGTTTTCCGGCTCGTACACTCGCGCCGATGGTATCGTTAAGTCGCTGCTGAGGTGCAATCGGGAGGGTAACGCAAAGGAACTGTGTACGTTTTACAGAAGACTGAAGGCTGATCTGCAATACCTGCGAAGGAGGGGACTTCTGAAGGCGTCGGGTGAACTATCGTACCAAGGACGCAAGTGCACCAGATGCGGTGCACCGTTTGGTAGATTTTACAACACCGGTGCCCCGTGTACACGCTGCAGGCACAGAGTTTGCAGACAGTGCCGTATCGAGGTCAGGAGCCCTACCGATAACAAAGACGTCGAATGGATCTGTAACGTTTGCTATAAGATCGCGTGAGTAACTCTCCATTGTTACCGTTTCCTTCACGCGCGGCTTGCGTCGCTCTCGACTCTCCTTCGATCCTTTGGCAATCCCTTGATTTCGCTATATTTTTCGATTTTACGCTGCCGATCGTCCGGAATAAGACAGTTTCCTCGCAATCGTTTGCGAGTGGAATAAGCGCAAGTGAAATGGAAAATTGGTGCTCGACCTCGCGTAATTTCTGTGATTGATTGAGTGATTAGCGAGATTGATGGCTGCGGTCGTTGTTTCGGGAATGTTTACGGTTATTGGTTACGCGATTTTTTAAAAAAGCGTTCGTTAACTTCCTTTTTTTTTCTTCTGTTTGATAGATTCTTTATCGGAGAGTGTTAATTGATTTTTCGCATTGAATTTACGAGTATCGTTGTAATTTTGTGCTTCTGTTACTTTAGGGAATTGCACGTTGTTACCGAGAAGTGGACCTATGACAATTCGGTATGTAAAGGATCTATAAATGGGAAAGCGGCGTCGCCTGTGGAGTTGTTGAAACACAGCATCAGACGAGCTTGGACTATTAACGGTTTGTTTAACGTTTTGCTCATTATACGTTATATTTATAACCGTAGAATCAAATTAGACTGTTTATCGTAACAGAACTTATGCTAATATTTATATTAAATTTTTTATGTCATTATCTTTAATGTTTAATTTAATTACCTCCAATATCGTTAACAGGATTTCCTTATATTCGTATTAAATGCTCAGAACGAGTCTCCTCCAGTAATACGAGTATGAAATAGAGAATTATGAAATAGTAATTATGGAATATTTATATCTTATATGAGAACTTCTGTGTGGTCATAAATAATCAGAATACGACTAAACGTATTGCAACTTAAACTCGAAACCAAAAAAACAGTTGGTTTTTGCTAAAAATTAAGTTTATCTATCTTTATTGGTCCAGTATATAACCCAGTAAATTATGCAATAAATGTTAATAATTCTTCATAGTCGGAGAAAAAATCTAAAAAATTAAACTTGTAAAATAAAAATTAGAAAATCGTTCACTTTACATACCCTGTTTATATTTTTACCATATTGTTTCGTTATAATCACGTACTTTCTATTCGCATATGACAAATTTTTATATTACAATAAAAAGGAGATTAACCTACAAAACTGCATAAATTACAGTCTTGCACCTCTCTAAAATAAATTCCGAAAATAAAAATGGAAAATATTATTAAATTTATTGCAACCTACACGTTATCTTAATAATATGACTAGCGACTAATAAGGAAACGGAAAAGATTAACATTTTTTCTCTACTTGACTGAATTCCACTTTGAAAAATTCTACTTTTGCGCGAAAAGAATGCAATAAATGATCGATTGCGCTTTATATACAGGTCCACCCACACGTTGGTCCGCGGCGAGGAAATCGCCCGAGCTGCGCATATATCGGAGCCTGCCGTCTCGTCATCAAGAGTACCGGGAAATCGTTAACAAGAACGAAATCGTGAAGACAGTGGACAGAGAAACGTCGAATTGCGATCGAAAGGAACCAGTTGCGAGAGAGGCGAGCGGACAGCCCGATGAGTGTAATGGTTCCGCGAAAGACGATCCATGCAAAGATGCCATAGCGAGGAACGAATCGATCCCGCTGGAAAAATTCCCGCCGCGTGTGGACGCGAACGAACGAACGAACGCGAAACGACCGGAAAAACAACCGAATAAACAGGAAGAGGAAGTGCCATCCTCGGACGCTGTGAAAGCAAAGAAGAACGAGCGGTCCTTTCCGGCCATCGGCAATAAAACGAAAATCGAAGAGCAGGACGAAACGGTCGGTAGCCAGGAGCAGAGTACGCCGAGAATCTCTCTGATAAAGCCACCGAGAATATTGTCGAAGCTCATTTCGCCGGAGATAAAGTCGAGCCCGGTTAAGCATGGGGAACGAAAATCGAATATCCCGATATTTAAGAGGAGCTCCAAGGAATTCGAGGACATTAGAAGCCCGCAAGAATCGCCGAAACGTTCTCTCATCCCTCAAAGGTATTTTTCGACATCTTAACGGAGTTTGCTTCGCGCAGGCCAGGGTCTTGCGTTCGGTTTAATAATACCAGTGTAAATCGACCGAGAAAACGTTTCGAGTAAAATAAAATTGCAAAGTTAAGGTTGTTAACGTTTGGCAGGAACGTGAAAATATGCACTCGTGCGCGATATCGACACTTGCTTACTTTGCATTCCATCGTCTTGAATTTATAGCGATACCGTGTAATTTTTAAGTAATATTTTACTTAGAATATTTGCCTGTTTATAAACAATAGATAAGACCAATCAGGGAAGCGTAGAATATGATGTGTCAAAGAGTATCAGTGATCTTGGTGCAAAAATACGACAAATGATATTTTGTAAATTTTTTAAATTCGATATTTCCCTTTACTAGCTATTTGATTATTTGTTTAAATATTACATATATTACCTGCTCTTAAAATCACGGTATAAGATTAAAATATTTTCCTTTATGCTACCTAATCGAAGTACAGAAAATCTGAAAGCCAAGGACAGTATACGTATCTCATTAATAAAAGGATAATAATAATCATTATAATACTATATATCATATTTAAACGCGTAATCACAACTTTGCACTAAATTTATTCTCGAAATTAGAAATTGACAATTAAAATTTTTCTCGCAGCAAATATCATAGCAACGAATAGTATAATTAAGAATAAGACGTCTGTTTCGTTACAATTTCACTGAAAATCATTTAATCTTTCGCAGATACCGAGGAAGCACGGATGATCTGCGACGAAGTCGCGAGGACATAAGCCTGCCCAGCTTGATCCCGAAGTTGCTCTCCCCGAGGAACAAGGAGGAGCGATTGAAACGCCAGGACAGCAAGGACGACATCCGTTGCCTGTCGAAGTGGAGTCGAAAGGACTGGAAGGAAGAGACGAGAGGATCGGCGAGTCAGTCGGCTGGCAAGGAGGACTCTAAGTACGGCATTCGGCTATTCCGACGGGACAACAGCCGCGAGGACGTGGGTAGGGAGAGCGCGAATTCAAATGCGAATAGCGCGGCCTTTGCTGCAAAAGGAAAGCAAGTCGGGAAAGAGGAGAAGCAGGAGAGGACGGAGGAACGCGTGGGCGTCTCGACCACGTCGAAATCGAAGTCGACGGTGCACGAACAAGGCAGGACGAGGGCACCGGGCAGAGAGGGCAGCAAGGAGAGCCTCGATGGCAAGTCGTCGAGGAACGACGAGGAAGGGCCGCGAGTGAACCAGCATGAGAGAGTGAAAGCCGAGGCGGCGGCCAACGAACAGACGATGCTCGACGTGGTCGTCAGCGACGAGAAGCTGCTGGAAGAGCAAGAGGGCGTGAGGAAAGGTGAAAAGGAGGCGAGAGAGGAGAAACGCGCCACGGAGGCGAACAAAGAGGAAGACTCGATGGTCGAGGAGGCAGAAGCCTTGGAGAACGACAAGAACGTGGACTCTATGAAGGAGACAGCTGAGTGCTTGATAGAGAACTCTGAGACAGATGTCACTGCGTTTGGAGCTTACGAGAGGAAGGATATTGGTCATGGGAGGAAGCTCGATGATTTTCAAGTGGTTAGTAGGATGTGACCGTGCTATCAGGGATTTATTAGTTTCACGTTTGCTTTAGCCTATAGTCTGAACGTTGAATAAATAAGTTTCTATGAGAGACGTCGCTGGACGTATAAGTAGAGAATCGTAGGAGTGTTGCGAGTATAGATTTTAAGAGTTTGCTTTTATTATCGCCATTGCGTTTCGTTTAGGTACGGCGAAAATTTTCGAAGGAGGAGTTCTCCAATCCTGATGACACGGATGATACTCCTAATAAACGCTGCTCCAGTGTAAGTTCTCCAATTCTTGTGTAACAGTTAAGCTTATTAAGTCTATATTATAACGTCGTCTATATTTAAAACGCGGGATATCGATATAATCGTAATGATTTTCGTGAAAACGAAAGCAGGGAGGATTTTATAAAACGAAGAATAGAATTAATGTCTAGTATTACAGATTGATCCAATTTTTAAAGGATACACGTATGATTTGCATTTTCTCAAATACATAGGCTGAACTATAATCATTGCAGAAGCAGGTAGAAAGTTGTTTTTGTAAATGATATACAACTTATGCACGAGGACTTACGAGAATTGATAGTATTTAACGGTACTTAATTCGAAAGAATTTTCCCCGATACTGATATAAGGTTTTCACTTTTGCAACTTTCATAATCGCTTGTCGTTTCCCGAGTCCAAACAAAATTGCTCGATATCTCGGATGAAATTTTTATGACTTCTGGAGAAAAGTTTAAGTCAAGAACAATGGATCTGTAAGGACAAGGAAAGCTATTGTTCATTTGTGTCAATTAGAAAATTTCGTGTATAGATCCATACCGTTAAGACACGTGATTAGGCGACAACTTTACAGTTCGAATTCCTTCCTTTCCAAGTTTCTAAGTGGTGATTCTGTTTACTAAGAAAAACATGGAATTTTCATGGTCTGTTTATACCTGAGCGCATCATATTAACTGTAGGGTCTAGTGACTCGGTTATGGTCAGTCAAAATTGGTTATCGTCCTCTTCAAATGAACTAGTCTTGCTAAACCTTGGAAACGAGGAAATTGAAATAAATTAACCGAATTGTTAAAATCAAAGATTGTGAATATTGATATTTTCAAATAATATAGCTACGTAAATAGTTATTTTCTCATGAGGAATGAAAATTAATTTTTAAATTCTATGAAAAACGTACAATTTTTTAACATTTAATTCGCAAGTATAATTCTATTTAAAAGATATTGAAAATTCCTTAAGGTATTGGATAATTGGTAAAATATAAAAAAATGTGGAATATATCAGAGTACGTAATGGACTCGAAAAATACGTCAGGTATTAAACTGGACAAATTATTTAATTATAACACATCCGGCTACTTAACTGTCGAATATTTCAATGTACACGTTCGCATTACTTTTTCACCTACTTTTTCTCAGCTACTGAATAATCTACAGCCTAATAACACGAGCACTGAATTTCTTACAGCATTTGTCTCCCGAGGCGAGTCCGCTGAGCACGAGATCGTCGAGATACAGCCCAAGGGAGAGCGAGAGCGAACCAACCCCAGCGCTTCCGCGGAAAACGGGCGATTCGTGCTCAGCATCCCAAAGAATACGGGATGCGATCACGAGGACCAGGAGGGAATCCAATAGCAGCACTAGATACGAGAGTAGCGGTAGCGAGAGCGTAAGGTGCGTGTAATTTGAATCACGCGACGCTTAAATCGCGAAACTTAGCTTACCCATCGTTCAAACCTGCCACGCGCCTCGAATAATCAACTACTGCCGGAACAATCGATCATTAGAAACTGATAGCGGAAGTTTCGCCTCCTGTCAGTGTGCTAAAGATCGGATCTGTGACATGAATCCCAGTGATCGCAATGAGACGTTTTATATTCCAACTTTCAGATTTTACGTTAGAATTATTGCCTGTGTCGATGAATGTCTTTTGTATAAAATTTTTGTTTCTTTTGTACAAAAGAAGTTAATGGTTAATTAAAAGAATTGTATGTTTTAGTATCACGTAACTTCTGCTTAGCTTGTAGGTAATGAAATAAACGGAATATTTGTAGAGATTGATTATTTAGTATAGCTAGTATATACCTCGTACATTTTAAAGTTACATTATTTCTATATTATATTTATCATCGGATGAGAATAATGTTACATAGTGGAAAGTAAGAATGTTTATGATCGCGATTTCACTTGATGGAAAAATGCAATGCAAATCGAAAAGTGCGCTAATATATGTGTAAAACAGGTGATTCTTCGTTTGAAAAGAAGACAGGAGTTTTATCACCTTTTGTATCTTCGCTTTCAACAAATTTGATATTGTGTTCTAATTAATAGAATCGTTCCTTGTATAATCGGATAACTTTCTATGCCTGTTAAGAATTGTTGATGTATAGAAATTCTATCATGAAATATTTATCGGTGTTAATATTAAACGATTGTCAATTCTTCTCGTAGTGATTATTTAGCAGATTTGTTTGGAATATTTTTTATTGTAAATTCATTTTTTATTCTTTTCTTTTCTTCAGGTTAAGCGAGACTGGTCTTCATGGGTATGTAGAGCTTGCCAGGAAGGTGAAGTTTTTCGGTGGAAACGGAAGTGGTGCGGTTCCATCGGCGATCGGAAGTGATGAGGTAGTGCAACGTGATAGCGCAACAAGTGCAGGTGAAGATGAGCCGCACGATGATAATCATGGAAGAACAGGTCCTGTTTCTTCTCAAGGAAGAAGCATGCTTCGAAGAAGACGGCAATTTGATGCCCAAGGTATGTAAACATGATTTTTCAGTTGTTTCTAGCATGATCTATGATCTATTTCCGCGCGTAAAATTGCAAATAGATAGATCATAGATTTTTTCAAATGGGTATACGGTATATTTTTCTTTATTTCTTGTTATCTTTTATCGAACTTCAGGGACGTTTATAATCTGATCATTCAGATTATTATTATATACGTTTGATGATTTTCTTGATTAGTTGGTTAAATATGAAGGATTAATAATGATTAACGCGGTAAAATAAAGATACAAGCATCTGTGACATATTATTCTTCGGTATGTGTGTCACTTATTAGTGTCTTGTGATGAAATACTTGTATTGCAACATTTCAAGTAGGTGTACATAACAGCAAAATTAATTTCATAGTTTCCTACTCTTTCATAAATTCTTAGCGAATTTTCACGAGTTTATATCATTTCAATATTTACTATATAAAATTTAAATACTTATGTTTATTTTTAATGCTTTATTGATACCTTACTAAATCAAAGTTTATTAAACAATGTCTGATAAATTATTTCTTTATTGTAAAATATTGGTAACAGATCTACACATTTTCTAATATAATTATCACAAAAGTAAAGGACCTAAGTTAGCTCGGCATGAGTTTTTCATACAAAAACAGGTAAAAATACATTCCTTTTAACTCACTAGTCAACACACAAATAGTTTTAACACGAATAAAATTCATACGAATTCTAGAATCTTTTATAATTCCATTCTCGCTTCTCCACTTTATAATTAAATCGCACTGCAAGTTAATTAATATAATACAAAATATTTCCATAAACATGAATAATCAATGCTATGCAAAATAAGCTTTTTCGAGTTAACTATGTTATTCGACGGAATAAAAATCCCAAATTCGTTTGAAATCAAGCCCATAGACCAAGCTTCTACTGACCTCTATTTCATCCGCCTTTTGCATGTAAAATTCTTCTTACTGGGATGTATCCTGCGAGTTAAATTCTCTAGAGATCGCGAGATAAGCTCGATTCGTTAAGGAAAACAGAAACGAAAGTAACTATGGAATCTTCTCCGCGAAAAATCCAGCGCGACGGTGATCAAGATCGATACTCCAGTTGGATCTCAGCCGCGCCATTTTGTCACGATTGGCAGCGGTGTCTATGGAACAATCGCGCGCATAAATCAAAATCGGACACGGCGTGCAATCCCGCGAATTTTCATCCGTTTCATGAATCATAAGCAGCGATCTATCACACGGGCGATATGCATATGTAAATTGGACGAGCAGAAACCCGCGCGACGAAGGAGAGAAACGCGATTGGTAACTAGACACGGGCCCATTCGCGTTTATATTCCAGTTGCTTAAAAGGCACAGCCATAACTAATAGTCGTAGACTTACTAATTATCGTAGCAGCGAGTAACATTTCGCTTTCGAGCCCGCCTCCCCGCATTCAGCTGTTTCGTGCACTCGCGTGCAAAGACGTTGCAATCGCGTGTCCACAGCTCCAATGTAAATGAAACGTTGATCCTTTTGTTTCGACATTGTTCTTCGGGCAGCGGCATTAATATGCAAATCGAAGTGGAACGAATTATATTCGCGAATCCCTGGCCGAGTCCGTGATATTCTAACGCGCCTTTAATGAATCACGATCGTGTAAAAGATATCCCTGTAACGCTTAGATCGCTGGATAGCAGTTTTAACGAAAGTAGAAACGCTATCCAGGTGAATTCGAAGCCGCGCTTTACGATTCCCGAGGAACAACGCGTGTAAATTCGCGTAATGGCTTTATACAATCGTATTACCTGGTCGGGGTTTATCTTTGATCGTTCGAGAGCCTGCGAATGGAGACTTTTCTCTGAACCAAAGGTCTGGTTGAAGGAAAAATGAATGCATTTTTGATTGGGATAACAGATGTTTAAGAAGAGTGATTAGTTGGACATCCAGGGAGAAGATTCGTAGGAGATACGTGGTTCATAGGATTAAATAATTACTTGGAGTTATGTGTGTGGAGAATATGATTCAATTCTTAGTCTTTGATATTGGATTAGGAATAATGGTTATCAATGGGGATTAAAAATGGTTGGATAACTGGAATGCGAAAGATAAGCTTCTGTTATCGAGAAATGACAGTGAAGAATAATAATAAATTGGTTTGGAAAATTTATTCCAATTTTTGTGTGTTAGTAAGTTGTATGTTACATCTACAGCTAGCTACATCTTATCTTCGAATTTTAAATGCTTTTTTAAGTAAACTTTAAGTCGTAAATTTTAGTAGATATGTTCCAAATTTAAGTCACTAAAAATTTATACGAATGAAGTCAAATAACTACAAAAATAAAAATAAAAAATAGCGAAACAGAAATTGGAATTTTAAAATAGTTATTTTAAATTCTCATACAATTTAAAAATTCCACGTTAGAAGAAGGAACTAAAAGTATTTTATTTTATTTGCAAAACAATTAGATTTCATATTTGTTATTATTGTCTTTTTAAAATATAATAATTGCATCTTAAAAAAATTTGAAACATTGTGTTTCATTCACGAAACAGTTGACCTTCGAATTTTTAAATATTTTCACTGCATATCGATAAAGGTATAGTAAACATGCCCTAAAATAATTTTGTATAAAATTTGTTTCATGCACGAAACCATCAAGCTTTAAATTCTGGAATCTAAACAAAAATTCTATTCTAAAATTTCATCCTAAATTTCAAATATTTGTTTTCATTAATGAAACAATTGAGCTTCAAATTTCTAACTATCTCGTCTCCATATATAAAATTTATAGGAAAACGCGAGATTATTATATACACAGAAACTTGGTATTTCGTTCCATTCACGAAACAATTGAAACCCATTTCGAAGCAGCTCCTCCCCACACCTGTCCCACATAATTAAAAGCTCACATTACCGTCTTGCCAGGCAACAACGCCAGCCAATTCTGCACCTCGATAAGTTCATCGATTATCGAAACCATTGGCATACTAGCCTCCATGAAACCAGTCGGTGTCCCCGTGAAACCCGCGAACGCCAGAGCAGTATTATCAGCGTTGCGGGCGTAGTGCCATTTCCGTATCAAAGTTCGGACACGAAATCGCTGATAAGGAAAACGTTGCTTGCAGTCTCGTGTCAGTGAACGCGCGAAATCTCCGAATACACCGTAAAAATACGTAACAGATAACCGTCGACCCAAAGTGACCATTTACTGCAACTTACCTCGAAGCAAGAAACAAAAATCTCTCTGTCAGCAATTGAACTTGGAACCGAACCGAAACGTCGGAAGTTAAAAATTTCGCAGACTTCCAAAAATTGACATTGATCGCGCGTGCTTCCATGCTGCAGAAAAATTCGACGTGCTCGAAGGTCAGACCAGAAGACCCATGCTTCGTTGTTCCCGTGTACCTGGTTCTCCGCGAATTCGCATGATATGAGCACGAGCAGCTTGCCGAGTTGAATGCAAATCGCGCGTTTCGCGGCGTGAGATATCCTCGCTATCTGGAGGGACGAGCATCCTGCAAACATGGACGTGAGAAGAATATGCCAACTATTAATCACGGTCTTCGTGTTCGTGTACTTCTTGCTCTTCTACGCGGCGTGCGTGGTTGTCCTCTACTTTCTGTGGATAAGCAGCCTGACTGTCGCGAGCTCGGGATGAAGGATTCCACGCGGATCGCGCGTGCAGAATCTCGTCCCGATTCGAACAGATGTTCTCCGGTGAAAGAAAAGAGATGAAACGGATAAGCGGAGGCGAATCTAGAACTCGGGGACTCTGTGGAATTGCTTTGAGGAAAAGTGGAGCAGCTGGAGAATTATATCACGAATTAACGTGCCTCTGCTTCTTTTCTTCCTTTCTTTCTCTCCGCTTGGGATTTATTTCCAGTTATTTCTGATTCTATAGATCGTGTTCTTTTCGTCGGTTTTTTGGGGAAAGAATCGTGGAAGCGTGGAATAAAGTTGCGTTTGGAGTGTGACGTGATTGAGACCATTTGTTTCAGGTTCTTGTTTTCATAGGTTTACTCAGAAGCTGTCAAAATTTATTCGGTGTTAGACGAACTGGAGAAGTGGTGTAATTGAATATGGTAATTTGTAGTATTAGGTAGTGTAATTTAGTGTATGTTGTTTAGCGTGATTTCTCTCGTGTGTTCTTTTGTCGATCATCTTGGTTCAAAATTTCACGTGCTGGTTAGCTCGTTATGCTTCCTTTGATTATAGCGTACTGTATTTGCTAAGTATTCATTGCAATGTTTGAATAGCTTCTCGTAAAACGTTGTCAAAATAAAAGTATATAAGGCTAGGGAATACTCTTTTAACTTGAAAAATATTATATGAAATTGAAGAATATTATGGTTAACAGTGCAGAGCCTTTTATTGTATGTCCATTGTAATATATTTCTGGACATTTTTAATCATTATTATCATTTTCTACCTTTGATAGTTCTCTTAAAGAGCTTTTAAGATGATATTGCACGAGACTAGAGAGTAATTTTATTAATTTAGAAAATATCTTGTCACAGTGAAGAATATTATCGTTAATCACAGCATCTTCTACTGTACTTTCATTATAAAATATTTTTAAGGAAGTTTTATCAATTTCTCATTATAATGATTCTCTTGAAGTGTCCAAAATGTTAATTCAAAGAATATATAAGGTGAAAATGAAGAACACTATTGCTGATCACAGAATATAATATATCTGTAGATATTCATTCTAATTTATTATATTACTATTCCCTTGGTTTATAAATTTTTAAAAATCCACATGAAAATGAAAAATATCGTCAACTATAGAAATTCTTCCACTGTATATACTATTTCCATTTTAGTATATATTTAAATATTTTCTACAATTTTTGCCATTTCAATATTTTCTTCAAAAAATGATTAAAATAACACGACACTACACAAGGTTGTGAAATAATTAGATTATCTTGAAAAAATTATCATTAGTCATTTATAGTGCTTTTCTTCGCCATTTTTACCATTTTCTTATTTAATTAATTCAGTGAAAATGGTGAACA